TGGTTCTGGAAAACAGTGTGGAGGTTCCTCAAAAAATTAAAAATAGATCTACCCTATGACCCAGCAATAGTACTGCTAGGAATTGACCCAAGGGAAACAGGAGTGCTGATGCATAGGGGCACTTGTACCCTAATGTTTACAGCAACACTTTCAACCATAGCCAAATTATGGAAGGAGCCTAAATGTCCATGAACTGATGAATGGATAAAGAAATTGTGGTTTATATATACCATGGAATACTACTTGGCAATGAGAAAGAATGAAATATGGCCTTTTGTAGCAACATGGATGGAACTGGAGAGTGTTATGCTAAGTGAAATAAGTCATACAGAGAAAGACAGATACCATATGTGTTCACTCTTATGTGGATCCTGAGAAACTTTACAGAAGACCATGCGGGAGGGGAAGAAAAAAAAAAAGGTTAGAGAGGGAGGGAGCCAAAACATAAGAGACTCTTAAAAACTGAGAACTGAGGGTTGATGGGGGGTGGGAGGGAGGGGAGGGTGGGTGATGGGCATTGAGGAGGGCACCTGTTGGGATGAGCACTGGCTGTTGTATGGAAACCAATTTGACAATAAATTTCACATTAAAAAAAATTAAAAAAATAAAATACAAATGTTAAGCAATTTAGATTGATATATTCATAAACATATACTAGAAATAGAATATGTTGTAAAATATGAGTTTTTATTGATATCAACTGGGTCATTCATTAGTATTCTAAGGTATATTCATTAGCATATTCCTTAGTATTCTAAGGTATAACAGACTGACAGTAAAGGATCTCAGTATGCCTTCTTTGAGGGCATGGATCATGAGTCTGTTCATAGATGAGCACTGAGTGTACATATATGTTTTTGTTTTGTTTTGTTTTGTTTTATGTGTTGATATTTTCCCTATCTTCCAGAAGTCAGAGTTTTAGTTATTACTTCTCATGGTTTGTATACCTGCCTGTACAAGATCCTTATCATTTAATGTACCAATTCAAATCTTCAATTGCCTGAAAAAAACTGTATTATGCATCTTGTAATAATAGTATGGAAAGTCTAAAAAAGGGATGTGAACTTATCTTCTTTGAGTAAGTTACATAATATACAGCAACTTAAGGCAAGATATAAAGTGTAAACTTTGAAGACACTGGAAACAGAGCTGCGTAATAAAGTCACATCAACAGCTGTATGTTATGCACACAGAAATGACAAGTCATAATGCTTTAGTGGTATTCAAGGGAATGGGTTTCTGTACACAAAGGAAAAAAAATCTAGATGGATACATTCCAATAATTAAGACCACCTTAACAACTATTGTTGCCTACTGACATATCAAAAATGACAAAAATCTAAATTTAAAAGTATTGAATGATAATGTAGACCTTTAACCATAGTGGAAGTTCACTGCTAAAATAAAAACAAGACACAAACTTTCCTCATCTGGATGTCTAAAGTTTATCAAACAGTATATTTTATAGAAATATTATTTTATAAGTGAAATTATGTCCCTCTAAAAGATATGTTGAAGGCTAAGACCCTGGTATCTGTGACTATCACCTTGTTTGGAAACAGGGTCTTTGTAGATGTAATCAAGTTAAGATGAAGACATTAGGTTGGCCCTAAACCCAATATGATAATGGCCTTCTAGGAAGAGGAAAACATCATGTGACTACAAAGATAGATGGTGGGGGGCGGAGGACAAAAAAAATGTAACATCTTTAACTCTCAAAGATGTGAGTGAGATGCAGCCGTATGCCAAGGAATGTCAAGAATTGATGGCCACTACCAGAAGCTAGGAAGAGCCAAGGGAAGATTCTACCCAGTCTCAGAGGCCCTGCCGACACCTTGGTATTAGACTTTTAGCCTCCAGAACTGTGAAGGAATAAACTGCTATTGTTCTATGGTTTGTGGTACTTTGTTAGACCAGTTCTAGAAAACCAATACATAATATTTAGACTGTTTCTGAAATCTAACATCTAAAGAACTGTTAAATTTCATTTCCTTTCTCCAGGGTCCTGTCACCCTATCACCTCCAAGCTACTCCCCTGCGTTCTCCCTTGCTGAGTGCCAAGTCTCTCACATGCCATGCTGGAATTCATTTGCTACCTTTGAGAATGCAGCTTTTGTAGAATGCTAGGGATGGAGGCAAAGACTTCTTGAATCTTCAATACCCATTCTCTTCTTCGTTCATAGTAAATAACTACACAACCTTTACCTGGGCATATGGCCACCCCAATAAAAGATTACATTTCTCATTGCTGCTCTTGGAGGTAACGTTGTATGCTATCTTGCCAGAACTTCATTTAAATCATGATTGGAGTCAACTTTGTCTCTTTTCTTCTTCACACCTTCCTTATGCCGTCTGGAATGGAAATGGGATGGCTAAACCTTGATCCACCATCTTGGACCATAAGACCTAGGGACACATCCTAGATATTTGTTGAGAAATAAGCTAAAAGTAAGCATGGTTTTCAAACAATTAAGATTTTACATTGTTTTATTATCATTAACATAAAGATAATGGTGAATTTTGTTAATGACTGCTAAAATATTATACATAGGAAGTATTAAATTCTAGTTAAGTTATACGCTTTTGACCTTAAGTAATTTTTACTATTCCATTACATTGTTTGACTAAATAAAATTCAATTCAGAATGAAATTACAAAACCATTATTTTTTTTAATTTTTATGTAAATTCCAGTTAGTTAACATAGTATATTAGTTTCACCTGTGGAATTTAGTGATTCGATATTTACATACAACACCTGGTGCTCATCACGACAAGTGCCCTCCTTATTCCCTATCACCTATATAACCCATCCCCTGCCCACCTCTCCTCTGGTAACCCTCAGTTTGTTCTCTGTAGTTAAGAGTCTGTTTCTGAAGAAAAAACAAAGTTATTCTTGACCATTTGAGCATTTTTACTGGTTCTGTGGAAGGTTCACTTATTAAAACTAACAGACATTAAGAAAAAATTAATTTCTATTGATAAGTACAATAATTTCAACACAGCAGGTGAACAAAAGTGATTGATTCATGTACATGATCCTTAACAGCCAATATCAAAGTCTATTTTTTTAATTTTTTTTCCAATATACTCTAGAGACTAAGAAACACCTTTAATCCACAATACTTACTTTTATTGCTCCTAGAAAATTTATACCAAAATCTTTATAAACTTGTAAAATGTCTGTTGAGAAAAGGTACTATGATATGGGTTTATGAAATATAGATTTCCATTGTTTTACATTCCAATGAGAACAAGCTTATATATTAATACAACTACTGATGGGGAAATTATACATCGATTAATAAACTTGCTGCACTATTGCTAAAATATATGCAATGCCACACTGAAATTTATATACAACTTATGTTGCACAAGTTTCTTTCAATTGGAAATAAAACCTGTACTTTAATATCACTATATAAAAGTCAATATGTAAACATCTAAATGAAAAGTTTTCTAAAATATTAAC